TAGTTTGCTCTTAGGAGAGGGAGGATGATTATGAAGCCTTGGTTATCCACTCCACCACCTCTCCATGCTCTGGCTGTATAGTGCACCCACTGCCAGAAAAGTAAGTGAGACATGCCCTGCCTCTCAAAAGTGTGAACCAATCACCACTTTGGCCTTTAGATTCAGAACCTACCTGTCCCCTATTAGGGAACGAGTTAATACTGGTGATGAGCCAAAACAAAAGTTTTGTCCTGTGTGCTAGAGAAATGTACTGTATAGTACAGGACACTGGGAATGTGTCCTGGACAGCATGTATGTTTCCCCTATATTTGAATTGTGGTCCCTTTAAGGGGACAGTTTGATTGCATGGTTGAGTATTCAGTGGTTCTCACTCATGCAAGGTGAGGGGTTCCAGGGTAGCCCAGCTGGAGAAGAGAGGACTGATTGTCGATACTAGACAAGTGTGTTAAGTGAAATTTTGATCACTTAGATGTATCCGAATCTCCAAATCACGATAATAGCGAATTTAAACAAATCTAAAATAAATTATAACAAAAACAAATTAATTCTTATTCTTTTGTTTACAATTTCAGAGGATTTTATAAATTCAATAATATGTGTCACACTCTGCATTGTTATAATTGGCCAAAGCCTCACGCAAAACAAATCACCCAATTCTGTTCTGGCTCAATCCTGGTATGGATTCTAAGTGGGAACCCTATGCAAAAACAAGAAAATGGTAAATGTCACTCCTGATACCATACGACTTTGTTTACTTTCGTAGCAGGTACCTAGAGCAGTAATTTGTGGTGAACAGTCATCAGGAGTGGATTCTGTTGACAGTGGATTTGTTTTTTCCATTTGGCAGGATGATGGATGTTATTCATCATAGTTCATATGAAACTACCTCTCTGGACAACTTGCATGACAATAAATTTACACCATAATGCATTTTAAAGGTTTTTTCATTTTTTTTGTAATAAAGGACATGTCAAAAAGTGTATGTACCTATTTAATATTAACATTTTTGTAGATGAGTAGAGGTACCCTTCACTCATTCACATGGAGGGGACAGTGTCTGTAAGATCCCTAAAATAGGCTTCCAGATTCCAATAAGCCTCTCCATTATACATCCTCACTGTGACAGAATGACTGTTACCCCGATTGGGTGGCTCCATCAGAGAACTGCTTCCTCGCCACTGGGACACAGGACCAAGGTATTATACCTGGGCATCTAAGCTAGTCTTGTCTAGTCTTGGGTGCAATTCCCAGCTATAATACTTTGGTCCTGTGTCCCAATGGCAAGGAAGCAGTTCTCTGATGGAGACACCAATCGGAATGACAGGAGTTCAGTCACATTTGGTGGCAAGCAGTAGGATGCTTCCTACAGTCCGGGACATCCAAACCACTACTTGGATCTGAGGTCTGGTAAACAGAAGAGGAGAGGTACAGACCAGCCTACATGAAAGATGAATTTTTAAGGAGGCTGCAGGAGATGCAAGTGCAGCATAGAGGACCAGTGCCTGTTCAGGTCCTGCTGGGATAGTATGACTCAGTCTAGCTCTTCCTTCTAGAGCTGCCAGCAGACAGAGAGCAGCACTGCCAAGGAAAAATTCTCTCCATCCAGAAAAGGTACTGGTTGCAGTATGAAATGCAGGTGCTGTTATTGGGGGAACAACCACACAAGGAGTGAACAACTGAGTTAGGCAGGCTGGTCTGGGCAGAGATGCAACTGTACAAGAGCTACAGAGCCCTCCGCTGGCATTTAGCCCAAGCGAGCCCTTGGACAGCAGATGGCAGACAAAAGGCTTTGGCTATGATGGCTTGGGGCTGTTTTACTGGAGGCATGGGACCCTGACTTTGGGAGTGATCTAGAATAGTGTTTGGAGGAAATCATGGATTACAGAGACCAGATGCTGAACATCTTGAAAGTGCTCTGGGCACAGGAAGATGTGGAGTTTCTAGCCCTTTAGGAATGGGAGCTGGAACAAGCATATAAAAGACTGTGCGACAAAGCTCAACAGTATGTCCCAGCACCCATGCATGTTATGGATCATGAGTTACCCACCGAAGTGCTGGCACTGTGCCCAAGTACTGCCAGCCCATGCCCTGAATTTTCAGCAATCCTAGAGACTGGGGACAATCTGTGAGCCCTGGAGGATTTGTGTGAGGCCACTGAATTTTCATTTTACTTCCCAGTGGAAGAGCTGGCATCAGGACAGAGCATCACTGACCTCTGCCCAATAGCAACAGCCCTTACGGAGCTCCAGGGAGTCAGGGCATGCAACCCTTCTCCCCAGCAGCAGGCCGATACAGTGGAACTCCTAGCCCCAGCTGAAGCACTGGAAGTGGGGCAGAGTACCACCAGTCTCTGTCCATACAAAGTCCCAGCCAAAGCGCTGGCAACAGGACAAAGGGTCCAAGACCTCTGCTCTATTCCCACAGACGTTCCGGGGGCCCAGGGAGAGGAGGTGGTCATGGCAGTTAAGGGACTCGGGAGCAAAGGAAGTTATCCTAACTTTACAGCAGGAGTCCAGGAGTCCAGAAAATGGAGCAGACATCTTATCTCCCCAGTGGCAGTTCTACAGTCTGGGAGAGGGGGTGGTCATCCTCCCCCTCTCCAGCAGCTGTTCAAGGACTCATGAACTGGCTGCTCCAACCACTGGACTCCCTCTGTGGAGCAAAGGCAACTTCTTTCACTCATCTCTCCAGCGGGAGTTCAAGGACCAGTTCAAGGACCATCCTCCCTCCCCACCGGCTGATCCACAGTCCAGTAGCGGAGGTGGTCATTCTCCCTCCTAAACAGCAGTTCCACAGTCCAGGAGAGGAAGTGGTCATCCTCCCTCCCCAACAGTGAGCCAGAGCGGAGAATTTGGGGTCCCCAGCTGAAGAACTGGCAACAAGGCAGAGCACCACTAGCTTTTGTCCAGCACCTGCTGTGTCTTCATGGCTCCAGGGAGTTGGGGCAGTCGGCCCCTTTTTCCAGCAGTAGGCCAAGCCCCAGAATGGTAAAGACTTCCCAGCTGAACTGGTGGCAGCCGGACAGAGGGTCCATAACCTCTGGTCCTCACCTACCAATGAGAACGTTTCCTTGCGGCCAAGAATGGAGATTATGTCAACCGACTATGTGGGTTCACTCTGCCCAACTAATGCATGTCCAGACCAGGTGGAGGTCTGGGACCTGGCTAGTCGACTTTTGAGGGGAGAAATATGACAGACCCAACCAGCACAGGGGTTTTTGGAGGGGTCTGCGGGCTAGCTTCTTGCCTATTGACCATGGCCCTGGCATCTGAGGGGGCTCTATTCTTTGATGTGTGCCTGGGGGGACCTTTTAAGTAGTTTACTTTGGATTAACCACTTGCCTACCGGGCACTTATACTCCCTTATGTACCAGGCCAATTTTCAGCTTTCAGCGCTGTCGTACTTTGAATGACAATTGAGCGGTCATGCAAGATTGTACCCATATGAAATTTTTATCATTTTTTTCTCACAAATAGAGCTTTCTTTTGGTGGTATTTAATCGCTGCTGGGCACTTTACTTTTTGTGCTATAAGCAAAAAAATTGCAAACAAATTTGAAAAAAAAAAAAGTTTCTTTGTTTCTATTATAAAATTTTTCAAACAGGTAATTTTTCTCCTTCATTGATGTGCGTTGATGAGGCAGCACTGATGGGCACTGATAGGCGGCACTGATGGGCACTGATAGGCAGCACTGAAGGGCACTGATAGGCGGCACTGATAGGCAGCACTAATGAGGGGCACGGATAGGCTGCACTGATAGGCAGCACTAATGAGGTGTCACGGATAGGTGGCACTGATATGCGGCACTGATTGGTGGCACTGATAGGTGACACTGATAATGGGTACTGATAGACAGCACTGATAGGTGGCACTGACATCACTGCTGGGCACTGACTGGCGGCACTGACTGGCACAACCGCTAGGCACTGACTGGTGGCACTGACTGGCAGCACTGCTGGGCTGCACTGATGGGTGGCACTGGTGGGCACAGGTGGGTGGAACTGGTGGGCACAGGTGGGCACAGGTGGGTGGCACTGGTGGGCACAGGTGGGTGGGCACAGGTGGGTGGCACTACTGGGCACAGGTGGGTGGGCACAAGTGGGTGGCACTGCTGGGCACAGGTGGGTGGGCACAGGTGGGTGGCACTGCTGGGCACAGGTGGGTGCATTGCTGGGCACAGGTGAGCGCACTGCTGGGCACAGGTGGGCGGAACTTGTGTGTGGTACTGCTGGGCACCGATCATCAGGGCACTGATGATCAGTGATCCTGATGATCGGTGCCGATCCCCGCTCTGACAACTTCCGGTTTTTGGCAGCACTTTCCTCCTGCTGCTCTGACAGCGTGAGGAAAGTGCAGCCGAGAACCGGCATTTGCATTTCCCGGTGATCAGCGTGTCATTGGACACGGCTGATCACGTGGTAAAAGGCCGCTGTGATTGGCCTTTTACAACGTCACGTGTTTAGCTGTGTCCGTTGGACACAGCGATCACGGAGATCGCCGGGTGCGCGCCCCTGGGGGCGCGCAGGAGAGCGCGTTCTGGGAGGACGTCATATGACGTCCACCCAGAACTGGCCGGCCGCAGTGCAACCGTCATTCGGCTATCTGCGGTCGGCAGGTAGTTAAAGTCTATTTATCCCCAAAATACACTCTGAGAACTGGAGAACCAAGACACAGATTTAGGGTCTCTGTGCCCAAACTAGCATTGACTGCTTCAACCCCTCTTTTTCCTAGACTCAGAGACTCTAAGAAGATGTTGATATAAACAGAAAAATGACCTCATGCTGAGAATCTGTTTAATAAGGTGTTATGTGTTTACTATCTTCTCTCATGGTGTGCCTACTAGGTGTGCATTTCCATTGTTAATTGAGTCAGCTATTGTTTGTTGGCAAGTCCTTCTGGAGGTCCCTACATGATATAAGTAGACTGATGTCAGCTTCACCTCATTATCTAATCAGTGTGGGATGTTTATCCCAAAGTGTAATATTTCTGGAGTGTATAAAAACCTATGTTTTCTGTTCAATAAAGAGTTCCTGTTTGGCATCTAAGCTAGTCTTGTCTAGTCTTGGGTGTAACTCCCAGCTATAATACCTTGGTCCTATGTCAAGTGGCAAGGAAGCGGTTCTCTGATGGAATCACCCAATCGGGGTGGCAAGTGTTCTGTCACTCCCACTACCATTAGGCCAGTGTTGTGGGGAAGAAGCCCTTTTCCTCATTAACATGGAGACAAAATTTGATGCCAGAGAGGTCACCTTAGTAAAGTACCTTCCTCGTGTTGCACGCATGTGGACTGCATGGTTCAGCAAAGGGGCACACATTTGCCCCTACAGCTAGGCTTCATGCTCTGATAAGCAGACAAGTGCCTAATACTGATTTAGGGGGACCCCATGGCATTTCATTTTTCATGTGGGGTCCCCCTGAAAATTCATACTAGACCATGTGATACATATGTGACATGGGTGTATAGAATGTATGTGTGAAGGATGATTGACACTCAATTGCCATAATTTTAGTAGGATATATCAGTGGAGGGGTAACTAGAGTTTAGAATAATAAGACAAGGACATTGTTAAGATCTATCAAGGCTAGATCTATGATTCATAGTTACCAGATGTGCAGTTGCAATCAGTCAAGGATTTATAGTTATAAGATATATAGTCTAACAAGTCAAGGTTCATAGTCACAATAGTTACACAAATAGAGTCTACTGCGCATGGCAGTAAACAAGGACACTGCAAATTATGTATATAAAAGACGGGGGATTCTAGGGGAATTTGGGACTCATTGAAGATGCGGCAGACGTGCCTTGCGGTGATTTCCCGGATTTCCCCTTTGCTGATTGCTGAGAGTCCCCCAATCATTGGGCAACGGGTGATGCTACAATATCCGGTGATGTATTGATGCTTTATTCTTGCTATAATATGATCTAAATATGATTTGCAATTCTGACAATTGTTATGTTATTATACTAACAGAACTTATTCAATAAATCATGTTTTGCTTTAATATTTATTAAGCCTAATCCGTGTATTAGTGAGCGATTGTAGTAGTGTTAAAAACACTTTGTTTTGAGGCAAAACAGATCATAAGGGTTTTATCTCCAACTACCCCCCCCCCCCCCCCCCCCACACACACACACACACACACACACACACACACACACACACGCTCTTTGTTGAGTGAGGAAGGCATGACAGTTGTAGAAAAAAATGAAGCATGTATAGAGCTAGAGCTAATAAATAGTGCAATACTTCTGTGCAGTTCTTTGCATAGTAAATTCGATGAGCATACACAAGTTAATTTTTGAGCTTGTAGAGAATATTTTTGTTTTGAGCTAAAATTAAAAGCCTGAAGTTAAATTTTTCTTCTATACCTAGGGTATCTTTCAAAACACAAGTAAAGTTGTTTTTGTGATTTTGCATTTGTATTCAATATTGTGCAAGAAAATTTTCCATGTTCGTAAAATCTTGCACAAGCAATTGGGTGTTTATCACAAAAAAGTGAATTTTAAATTTGGCCCATTACTGTATTTTATGTAAGTAATAGGTTTAATTAAACCAATATGTAAGATACACACTCAGTATCTTTGCTAGTGTAAAATTTAAAATTTAAAATACAGGGGTGCTTAGTAATACAAATTATGGTCAGCAGTCAATAGACTTTTACTCACATGGAGAGTTTACATGATTGCACACACATTCGTACAGCTAATTAAGGGTCGGTTCACACCATAGAAACACAGTCCAGATGCATTCTGAATGCACTTCCGCATGTGTGTTTTTTACGCATTCTGGTGCGTTTTGTATGCGTTCCACTGCGTTTTTGATGCTTTATGATTCATATTTTCCTGCAATTTAAGGGCCAGTTCACACTATGGAAATGCAGTCCAGATGTGCTCCAGATGAGTTTCCGCATGCATGATTTTTCACGCATTTTTGGCGCTTTCTGGTGTGTTTTTTATGCATTCCAGTTAAGTTTTTCACCTCTCTTTTTCTTCAATTTAAATTGGGACACATGCATTCTGGTGCATTTTGTATGCCTTTTACTGCATTCCAGTATAATTCTGTGCAGGAAATATGCAGCCTGTTCTACTTTTTTTTCTGTAACTGGAACTGCAAGCACTGATGTGAACTATGGCAATGACAACCATATAACCTACTTTCTGTGCATTTTGGATGCAGAAAAAAAGCACACCGAAACGCATATAGTGTGAACTGGCCCTAAGGGCTAGTTCACACCAGATGCAGTCCAGTGCATTTTTTTCTACATCAAAAATACATGAACAGTATTTTCTATGTATTCCAATGGCCCTAGTTCACACCTGTGCAGTCAGTTTCAGTCAGTTTCCAGTGCAGAAAAAAAGTAGACATGCTGCTTTTTTCTGCACAGAACTTCACTGGAACACAGCAAAACTCATTAAAAACACACCAGGAATACATGTGGTGTGAAACTGTAAGCAAAAACACATCCAGAACACATCCAGAGAGTGTTTTTGTGGTGTGAACTAACCCTAAGGGCCAGTTCACACTACATGCCTTTCAGTGTTCTTTTTTCTGCATCCAAAACACACAGAAAGTAGATTATATGGTTGTCAATGTCATAATTCACATCAGTGCTTGCAGTTTCAGGCTGCATTTTTCTTGCACAGAACTGTACTGCTGTAAAAAAGCATAAAAAACGTACCACAATGCACCAAAATGTACATGTGGCTATTTAATTTGAGAGTCAGTTCACACTGTAAAAATGCAGTCCAGATGTGTTCCGGATGCGTTTCTGCATGCATCTGTTTGATGCATTTGTGGAGCATTCCACTGTTTTTTTAATGTGTTTTTGATGCGTTCCGGTATGTTTTTGATGCTTTCCAGTCCATTTTTTCCCCTCTCTTTTTCTTCAAGTTAAATAACATGTGCATTCCAGTGCATTTTGTGGTACATTTTGGTGCATTCCGGTGAATTTTCTATGTGTTATACTGCACTCCTGTACAGTTCTGTGCAGGAAAAATGCAGCCTGTTCTATTTTTTTTCTACATCCAGAATGCACTAGAACTGCAAGTGCTGATGTGAACTATGACATTATATAACCATATAACTTACTTTCTGTGCAGTTTGGATACAGAAAAAAGAACACTGAAACGCTTGTAGTGTGAACTGGCCCTGAAGAAAAAGAGAGAGGAGAAAAAAAAATTAACTGGAACTCATCATAAACATACTGGAAAAAAAAGTATAAAAACACGCCGGAATGAGCCATGCAGAAACGCATCTGGACTGAGTTTCTATGGTGTGAACAGGCCCTAAAAGTCAAGAAGTTCCAGAAATCCATTACACGTTTCCTTTTTTCTTAACAGTTTGTCTTTTTTTAATAAAAACCCTAATTTCTTTAATTTTTAAAAAGTAACATTGCTGTTACATGTGACTGAGTGAAAATGAGGAATTAGCAATGTGTAGGTCTTGGAAGGCATGGTATAAAATTAGTCAACCAAGAATATTAAAAAAATCTACTTTTTGTATGATTTGTGTTTTCTTAATAAACATTGTGGAAAAAAAATCATTGGAGAGGGAACAAAATTCTTTAGCAAAATAACAATAAAGTCTTTCATTTGTAGTCCATTAACTTTATTGACTATACTGTGAAGAATGTAAAGTTCAATGGCCATACAGTAGAAGATAAAATACACATGATATCTCTCTGTAGAGTCTGTAGAAAGCAAAGTCTGTAGAGTGGTGTGATGGGTTTGTCCAAGTTAGAGACATGGACATGCAGTAATGTAATGGTAAAATTTGTCTTAATGTATTCATGTTCAAAGCTGTCTGTACCAAAAACTTTGATTATAGAATTTATCCAAAATATGTCTAGGGTCTTTTTCATCGTAAAAAATGATATTAATCTGTTAACCTGTTACATAGCAAAGTAATATCACAGCTGAGTATTACTGTCAATTTAAGATAAAAATGTCTCATCTTTTTACATATTTTGTTCTGGTAATTCCTCTTGCTTTCATATTCAAAATTCACAAGTATCAAATAGTAGTTGGCTATCTAATTAAAGATACATCAATTTCTTCTAGCTTCTTTCAAGAACAGTCTTCACATCAGGTCTATCCTTGTCTACAATAATTCCCTTACACATTCTTCCAAACCACACATATTACATCACCTTATCTCTCACAGACACAGTGTAATATATTTATTACAATACAATGTATAGCAACTGTCCTCAAAGAGTGACTGTTAGAAAATATAGAGCGACTCTGAATATAAGTAAAGCAGACTTTCAGTAGATGAAAATCTTTAAAAACAGTTAAGACCACTTATCTGCTGATTTCTATGAATATATACTAAAATGTAATACATATATTTATACAAAGAAGAATGAGCGAATTATTCATTCGGTCGGCTCTTCGCCGAATAAATTCGCTAGGCGAATATCAAATTTAACTTATAAAAAGGGTTTCTAGGCTTCAGAGAGCCTTTATATTAGTGCAGAACACTGTACCTTTAATTTAAATGTTGGAGTCTGCTGGGGGAAGAGAAATAATACTCAGTCAGTATGACAAGATGAGTGCCGTCGATCTTAGATCACCGCACACTTCATCATTTGGGCAGTCACGGGGCCAAAACCAGAGAGAGTGTTCACAGTGTGGCAGTGGAGAACATGGAACCTTGTGAGGAGACCTGATCATGGCAGAGTGTGGCGATGTCTGGGACCGTAACCCATGACACACTCTGGACCATTCTTCCAACAGGGGCCACATGAAGATTACGGGCTGGCATAGCATGAGGAGTCGGTACGGGGGCCCATGGCAGATTCGGGCCTGGCAGCAGCATGAGGAGGCAGTACAGTGGCAATATTTGAACGTACAATTGGTTGTGAAGCAGAAAGTCAGTTTATTTTGCAAAAACTGCAGCACCAACTGTGCACGACAGCCACCAAAAAAAAAGGGTGTATGTCACTTTAAAATTTTCGATTGTCTTTGATAGCTGTGGCCCTAAGTAACGATGTGTCCCAGAGTAACGATTCTGTGTCCCTGAGTAACGATTCTGTGTCCCTGAGTAACGATTCTGTGGCCCTAAAGTCTCTGTGGCCCTACTCTGTCCCTTAATATACACAGGTAATGAAGGCTAATGGAGAATTCTAAGATGGCCGCGATTTATTCCACCTTTACACAGTGCTGGCTGGCTGCTGATTGGCTAATGCGATCACATGTCATGAATGCATTATGGGTCAGCGCACCTTGTCTGCGCGCCTTCCCAGAGATCCCCGCCCCATCTTCTCTGTCCATTTTCTCCGTCGCCACAACTTAAAATGCTGATTCTGCATCCGAAGTTTGCTAATATTCGGATTCGTCGCGAATAGAATTTTTCCAAATCTTCGGAACGAATTCCAATGTTCGATCGCTCATCTCTACTCGTGATGCAACACTCTGCTCTCATGCTTGCTCATGAATATATGTGTGAAGAAGTTCACTCCCACAAATCAGCTAATTTGTATGCCTGTGCTCAGTTTTGTTATGCAATGTGCATTCAGGTGTGTCTGCAATTCTCAAACCTGCTATGCATCATTGCCAGCCATTTAATTGATAAATATATGTTACAGTAGACTTTGATTATATGTGAACATTGACAAGCTGATAAGCATGCCAATGTACATGAACACACCACGACATCTTGTTCTATTCAATATGGTGGGTTTCCAAGCTTAGGATGATTTAAGTAAGTCAAGGTTTTTACAAGTATTTTATTTATGTAAATAGTAATGAACAAATGAATGGTGAAAAAGGTAAAAATCAAACTTTCAGTGTTTAGTCCTTCACAAAGGTGTGATTCCATAAGCAAGCACACATATACAATTGAAAAATGAAAAAAATGTATAGTGTGCTACCTTATCAATAAAATGTTTATGAAACAAAAAAAAACAAAACACGTAAATGTATATTAAGTAACAAAGATTCAATACCTTGAAATGATAGGGCCCGCACTATCAAACTTCCAGCTTGTGCTGACAAGCACCAGGCTTTTTAAGGTAAGAGGAACTTAATTTTGTCTGAACATCTGTCTTTGAGCCCTTGCCAAGTACAGAAGGATACTTGAGCTTATTTAAAACATGGTGTGATGTGGTGGAGTGGGGTGGAGGTCACATACAGGCTTCTCTATCCAGACATGGTTTACTAACTTAGGCCTCTTTCATTTGGGCAGTCTGATCAGGTCCGCCTTTCATTTTTTCAAGTGGACCTGATCAGGGGCGGACTGACAACTCATGGGGCCCCCGGGCAATAGGGGATCATGGGGCCCCTGTGTCCTTGCCCAAACTCAAAAAAGCCTATGAAAAAGGTACCAGGGGCATCTTATGGGGCCCCCTACTGACCCCGGGCCCTCGGGCAGTGCCCGGGTTTCCAAATGGTCAGTCCGCCCCTGGACCTGATCAGATGATCCATGTATCCCTAGGGATGAGTGGGTGTAAATTAACTTGTGCCCCTTTGTCTACGAACTTGTGCCTCTTTACACCTGTCTACTTCAAATCCAATCCAGTCTGCTAAAAAAAACCCAAAGGGATCTGTCGCCCTTCATCTAGGAGGATCAGATCAGAGGGAAGTCTGGTAAAAATGGACATCCACCCATAGAGCAGAACGGGGCTCTGTCCATGTCCGCTTTGTATAAACTGAGCTAACACAGATCTGTCCACTGGGCTCTGCTCAGCAGGGGATCAGTTATGGTTGCCAACTCATCCCTTTAAATCCAAACACATATTAACTACAAAGGTTTTGTGGCTGATTAAGGTGCTAATTAAACTCACTTAGTGCCTTATCTGCATTAAATTTGCCTCAGAACCTGTAATTAATACTAAATGTGTTTGGTTTCAAAGGGATGAGGTGGCAACCATAGGATCAGTGAACAGATCCCCTGCTGAGCAAATTGGATTCTGCCCTGTGTGAAAGGGGCCTTATCTGCTATCAGCATGAGGATAGTATACTGTATATGCTGAACAGTAATGTTAAATACCACCAAATAACCAGCTCTGTGCTTAAAGATTAGGATATATGCAGCACATGGGAAAATCCTTAGCATAACAGATTTTGTATTATCTTTACATATACTATAATTGTATGAAAGAATATATAAATATGATTATGAAATAGAAACAGCTGTGCTTATATAGTATAAAACTGGTAAGTGTATCTCAGCAGCTACCAAAAAGGTGCACCCCTATAAAACAACCCAAGATCAGATTAAAAATGTAAATTTGCAGTGCTGTTAAATTGGGGCCTGGTTACTGCATGTGATGCCACTTCTAATTTTGGCTTCTGAGTATGTGGAAAACATGCAGGCTTCAAGAATAGCAGTGTGAAGCCGTGGCCTTCACTCTACAGCAAAAAGCTTTTATCTCTTAGATCCCAGAATGTTTTACATGTTTATTTTAATAAATATACTTTATGGTTTTACGCAATGAGGCCCCTTCTGTATACTTTGTATATCCTTACATAATCATGACAATTATGGGAGGAATCAACTGAAGCAATTTATATGGACATGAAGGTTTCTCTGCTTACACACTCACCTTAAAGTGCTGTTTGACCTTTTACTAGAAGGTCATTTGTTTCTGGTGAGTTATCCAAATCCCCGGGGTGTGACCACTGGAGCACTTTTTATTTCTGGCTGAAGCACTGCGGCATTTTGTGGAATATGAATTTACAGAAGATTAAAAAACATGACTCACATATGTTTTCAACAATTTTCACAATGATACAGATATTGTTTTATTTATATATATTATGTATATTATGATATACAAGAAAACTCCTATACATTTTCTTGTATATTTAAGCACTGCCAGTTTACACTTCTAATCATGGTATATAATTATACCCTGCGATTTGTCAGGTTTTTTTTTTTTTTCAGAACAGTTGTTATGGAAAGGAATTATATTTAGTGTTTATAATGAAAATTTGTTTTTATATTCAATTGGTTTGATGTGTTTGGATAACAACTTTTGTGTACATATTGTTGTGTACTTTTGATTTGTCAATTAAGCATCACAGATATGTTGTCGTTAGAGAAATACCTTAGATCATCAATTTAGATATGCATGGCTGTATTTATCAACTTTAATGTGAACAGTTATACATAAACAATCAGATTTTCATCATTAGAGTTAAAAACTCTGCTTACTGAAGTGTTGTGTATAAATACATTTGTTTT